TACTGACGTCTGAGGCCGCCGGAGAAAGCCAGACGTCAGCAATGAATAGGCCCTGCTGCCAGGTGCTGGTAGGAAGCCACCTCCCCCTCATGATTATGGCCTTAGTTAGGGAACAAATAATTGTGTAAGCCGCTCAGAGACCCCTCGGGGTTCGAGCGGGATACAAGCCGAAAGCATAAATAAATGAATAAATAAACTTCTTCAGCTTCTTATAGCAGTGTCGCTATTACTAAAGTTCTTATCTAACAAACCAAAAGCAAAACTCAAACATGCACACCTCCAAGACATCCTGCTTACCAGAGGAGCCTAAAATGGGCTTAATGTTATATCTTTTACTCCACGCTCACAAGAATACGCGAGACATGGGGACTTGATCCTATCACCGTTCCTTCCGATTCCCCTTCTCACTCGAGCCACTACCCCATGGTCCACGTGGGTCCCATAAGCCTCAGCACAGCCTTCTGGCTACCATAGCCCCTTTTCCCTCTTTCACCAGTAGGATGCAGCCCATGATGCCTATCTAACAAGGGCACCCAGTGATCCAACACAGAGAAAGCAAGAGCACAGATGGTGGAGAGCTCTTGGAGTTCCCCATCCGTACTGTTGAACCAGGACTGCCTATCCTGGTGTGTTACTCATGCAGCAACTCCACTCTGCTGACCAAGAAGTGCTCATCATTCCTTGATGTAAATGGGTCAGAAGAGCTCCTGCCCATTCTCAGTCATTTTCCACAGTTGTCCCACATGGTGTGAAATAGCTTTTCGGTGCACATTAGGAAGACATCCATGCCTCCATGTTGGATGGAAGCTCTCACACACGAACTTGTTATTAACCTTGGACAAGAAAAAAAGGCAGACATTCTCTCTTGGCTTGGTGTTTTCATTTCGACAGCCAACAACCACACATTGTCTCCCCCATCTCCACGGCCCTGACCTGAATCAGTATTGTGTGTTTGCTAATGGAGAAATCTACTCCACTTCAGGCTACATTCCATTATTGAGAGTTTTGGGGCTACAATATCCCACACTCATTCTAGGAAATTTCTCTGTCAGTACAAAGACGGGAAAGGAGAGCAGTTAATTGCTGTCAAACACCCCTATCCTGTTGATGGCTCTCACAAACACCGGCTACTTAAGGCTTGGTTATGCAAATACTTCCAGCTAGCATGGGTCGCCTCACACCCTGGAAGGAATGTGACACCCAGGAGGGGACTTGGCTGGGGGATACCAACTGCTACATGATATCTTCCTCCTTGGGAAGGATAGAAGCAGAAGGACTGACCTACAGGGGGGTGGGCAAACAGAGGAGTTTAATTCCCTGGACACAAGAGGAATGAGGTCCATTCAGGCAAGGCCTCTTTGCAAGATCCATCTTGGCTGAATCCATCTTGGCGGCCTCTTATTACCATGTGGAGCTAACTAATAAAGGGGCAGGCCACCCAGACAAAGGCTCAAAGTAACAGATGACTGAGAGAAAGCTGTAACTAGGGATGGGCACAAATCAGGAAAATTGAGGTTCATCCCTCATGGTTCAGGGGGTCTCGTGAACCATGAACCTGCACAAACCTTTATATTCACTGAACCAGTTTGTTTCGTGAGGTTTGTGATGTGGTAGAATGGCCCCCCTACAAGCTATAGAAACCAAACTCACAGCAAGTCTCCAGATCATCCTCCTATGCCTGCCCTCCATGTTTGGTGAGGATTGGATGTAGGAGGGCTGAGTTATAGCCCCCCAAAGTAAGTGCCCCTAGGAAAGTGCTGTCTGGGGAATACACAGCAGCAGGTTCAGGACTGTGTCAAATGGACCCCTGCAATCTAGAGGCACCAATGAAGCTCTGCCCCTCTGCTCGGTGTGAGCAGAAGGACAGGTGATGGTTTACTTAGAGCCCTGAGTAAGCACCAAACATTCCCAACCCCACCGTTTGCACACTGAGGAATGACTTCCAGTTCCCTTCCCACTCTGCCTCTAATGCCCTCTCTGCCTAACTGCCTGCTGCCAAGTGAAAATAGCTGCATGTAAGCTGGGGGTATATATATCCATTCTGCTCCCATTCTGCTGAATGTCACGACCACTTGGAGGACCCAAAGTGGAATAATGCACGTGGTTCAGTAGGGCGTTCTGCGACACATCCCTTTACAGAATGATGGAACGATCAATTCGTGGATCTCTGCCTCTTGTTAGCCGCCCTGAGCCCATGTGGAAGGGTGGGATATAAGTCTAATAAATAAATAAATAAATAAATAAATCTCCCAGTGCCACATCTATTTGTCCATCAGAGAATGGATATACCAGAAAGTCAAAAGAACCCAGCCAAATAAAATGTGTTGATTTCTAGCCCCCGTGGCTACTTCATCCATTTGTATTCAGTTTCATTAAAGCACATCTCACAATTCTGCAATTAATTGTTTTACCAGTTCAAATTAAAACACAGGGCTACTCACCTTCCCTCTGGCTCTATTGCTGTGTTTTAGCAGTGGTTTCTCCTCAAGCAATCACTCGTATGGTTTGCCCTGGGGGCAAAAAGCAACTCTAAGGGCTGATAGAGGTCAGGAAATGGCACAGGACAGAGGGTGAAACCTTCCTTACCCTCACTGTAACAGGAGCCCGAATCTCTGTTCCCATTTGTGGCTGCTCTTTCTAGTTGAAAAACTCTCCCACTATCACCCATTTAGTATGGACCAGTTTCTGTATTTAGTTGAAACATTTTACCCCACCTTTTCCCAATCACAGACCCAATGGATTACAATACTGATTAAAAATAAACCATCCAAGCAACGAGGAGGCAGAGTGTCGGCAAAGGGAGGAGAGGTCTTCTGATCACCATGATGGATTTGCTACAATAAGCGACACTAAGAAAGGACATGTAGTGATGTACACGTGGACCATATGAATGTACACGCACATCCCTCCCTGCTGACTTGTTTAGCCACTCATAAGGGTATTAATGCTGCTTAAAGTTTTTCTCCAACAAATGAAAAGCAAAACTGGAACATGTCCCCCCTCTGTTCTTTTGTTCTGCGTCAGCATAAATTCTCCTCTGCATATTAATAGTGATGGTCCTGTCTCTTGTCTGCCTGTTTGCAGGGCCATTGGGTAAAGGGGGCAATGGTTCAGGATCCAGTACTGTCACTTTCAGGTACTACCTGGAGACTGGCAGCCCTACTCATCAGCTGCAGAGGTCATTTCGGGGAGGCTCGCGGGGGATCGCAGTTCCCCCGGGTGAGGTACGGGGGCGGGGCACATGATGAAGCCCCGCCCCCTGCTTCCGGCCACCCTGCTTCCGGCCCTCATTCAGCCAGGAGGCAAAAGAAGAGGGAGGGTAAGTTGCTTCCTCCCTGCCTCTCCCCACCCCTGCCTTCCTGGGGCCAGGGAGGGCCTTCGTGGGGCTTCCTTGCACTCCCGCCGGCCTTGCAGGTCCACCGCCGGGCCCCTTATGGGGCTCGGCAGTGGAGCTGCAAGGCCGGCGGCGGTGGCCGGGACCGTTGGGGCCGGGGTGTGTGGCCTTATGACACACTTCCGGTGATGTCAGGGGGTGTAGCCTTATGACACATTTCCGGTGATGTCAGGGGGTGTGGCATATGCTAATGAGTTATGCTAATGAGTTCCCCTAGCTCTTTTTCTATGAAACAACCCCTGATCAGCTCTATCCACCACTCTAACCGCTACACACTCTCTCCACACCCAGTACGCAGTTCACACCATTATACACCCCTAATTGTCAGCCCTGTTTGGTATTACGCATACCTGGCAATTAATCCTTATCAGCATTGCCTGAAATCATGTCCTAAAGTTTCTAGGAAAAGGTGTACTCCTCCTCCATTGTGACTGTTAATTGGCACTGCTAGTAAATACAAAGGCATGAAAAACAAAGCCTTTAAAATGCTTGGAGATATCATCCCAAGAGAAGCTGCCCATGAAATTAATGGGTTGTGGAGCTGGCACAAAGCAGAAGCTGTTATGCAAAGACACTAATTATCCCCTAAAGGGGTGGATGCAGTCTCTAAAGTTATTGACTGTACATTTTCCCCAGTTCTTGGGAGCATCTGACGTAACAGTGAGAACTTCCTTAAATCTGCCTGCATGGGAAAACACATCAAATGGATTCAGACAGGCACTGCCAAAGATTGCTTTCAAAATGACTGATTTATTACAGCCCCATTTTCTCTCCCCCTCCTGCCAGGTATCCACAACTATGTTCTTGTTTGTGGAACAACATGCCTGATCAGATTATATTTTATTTTTAATTTCAGATCTCATATGATCTAGAGCCAGGGGAACGGTGTTTTCCAACTCAGCCAAGCTAGGCACTCCAACGATGCTTGCCTGAAATGGTCACCTAGAGCCAAATATGAATCTGTTAAATGGTTAGAGGCTTTGATGGGAAGAAGGATGATGCCATGGGTGGTGGGCCCACTGTCATGACACCAACTATGGTGTGAGGACCACTGCATAAGGTGAAGGAAAAGACAGAGCCCATGATTATGGAGGAGCCAGGAGCCAGGGGTCATTGCTACCCTAGACAGACACTTTGCAATTGCTCATAGGCATTTTTTCCCCTAGGGCCTTTTTTAAAAAGCTTTGATTCCCTTTGGTGGAAATGAGCTCTG